GCACCTCTCCAGAGCACCACGAGTGTTCATAAAGCCGTGCCAGGGGACTTGCAATGACCCCAGCGAGTTCCTTCAGGACTCTAGGGTGAAGATCATCCGGGCCGGCTGACTTAAAAACGTCCAGCCCCTCCAGAAGCTCCCTAACTAAATCCTCACTCACTCTAGGCCCAAGTGAGCCTCCCCCGGGGCCCGAAGGGGGCCCAGCAGGGAGGTGGCAGTACTGGTCCTTACCGAGGAAGACAGAGGCAAAGAAGTTATTAAATATGTTGGCTTTGTCATCTGGCGTGACAACCAGATTCCCCGTCTTGTCCTGCAAGGGGCCCACATTTCCTGGGGCCTTCTTTCTACTATTTGGCCAAAGATAATTTTTTGCTGAATAAAAATATACAGTCAGAAGTATATTAAAGAGTTAACAGTAAATTTTACCGCAAAGAAAAAATGAAAGGACTTAAATGCAAAAGTATTAAACTTGCATGAACTTAAAGAAAATAATTATAAAATGTGTGTGCTGCATCTGTAACCAAAACTATGCAACATCTATTTGGCGCTTAAGAAGAAAGTGAAAGCATTTGCAGAAAGTGAAACACAAACAAAAACTAAACTTGTTAGCTTTCCAGCTGAGCTGTACGCCAAATAAGTAAATGGGATCCAAAACAATTCTGACAGTTTCAGATACTGGACACAGTTCAGACATTCCCTCCATCCACCAGGGGTGGACCATATTTACTCAAATCCACGGGAGGTTTTTCCTCCCCACAGAAAACCTCATCTTGAGTGGCTACTCCAGCTCTGGCTCCAGGGGGAAGAAGGGCAGGCAGTGAGGGGGGCAAGTGACTGGGGGAAGAGGGGCAGGTGGCAGCAGGAAGCATGATGAGAGCAAGTAGTGGGGGGCTATTGGCAGGGAGACAGGCACCAGAACAGGGATGGGCAAAATGCAGCCCACCAGGCCATTCTATCTGGCCCATGGGGCCCCTAAAAAAATTAGAAAATTAATATTTATCTGCTCCTGGCTACCTGTCATGTGGCC